ACAACAACAACAATAATAACAAAACTAACGACAATGACAACAACAACAATAATAACAAAACTAACGACAATGACAACAACAACAATAATAACAAAACTAACGACAATGACAACAACAACAATAATAACAAAACTAACGACAATGACAACAACAACAATAATAACAAAACTAACGACAATGACAACAACAACAATAATAACAAAACTAACGACAATGACAACAACAACAATAATAACAAAACTAACAACAATGACAACAACAACAATAATAACAGCAACAACAACTTACTACTAACCATCTTGATCAACACTCAAAAGAATGAGATTCTGCGGTTTCTTTTTCAAATAATCCTCAGCACAAAAGCCTGGACGGCTCACATCGACTCGACTAGTGTCCAGGTTTCCGCAAGCAGCATCTTGCAAAGCATCCTTAAAAGCCTTGGTATTCTTTGTGTGCGTCTTGTTTTGTCCTCCATAAAGAATGCACACAAACTTACGGTTATCGTCAACACCTGTGGTCGGCTCGTTAGAAGATTTGGAATTTCCCATTGCTAAATATAGGCGAATAATTTAATTATCAATGTTACATTTTGTTATATTTTGGTACATATGCCCAGCAAAATAACCCTAGATGACTCTATATTATCACTAAATACATATAAATAAAATGGTACAATATAAGGATTCATTAGATTCCGGCTTCACATGGTAATATTGAAAGTTGTCATTTAGTGCATCAGGAAAATTCGTTTGGAAATATTCAACAATGGCTATCACTGTACTATGAACAATATAAACTTACGTTTTCAACACTGCAAGAATAATAGAGTTCAACGTATGAACTAAACACTTAGAAATCAATTCATATATTTAATTGCAGTTTGGCGCTGGAGCTGATGCATAAACGTCAAGCAGCAGGCAAAGATGCAGCAAGTATGCTGAAACTCGAATGTGAAATTTGCTGAGTTGCACTTTTGARCTGCCTCAAAATAAATTCATCTAAATCCGTCAAAAAATGAGCAGCCACACCGACAAAAATAAGTAAAAATTTATTTTTTTATTTTCAGAAATTTATAGAAAAGTCGTATTGATTACCAAAGTAACCTAACTAGATGAACAAAACCAAGTGCGACGCGAAATGCGTGTCGAGTCGTGTACTTTGATATCGATGTTGCTACAAATTTCCAACTAGTAGCAAACGCGAAATAATGTTTTTCCATCTTATCCGAATATAATATACCTAATAAATAAGTAGTTTGTGTATGCACAGGCATGGATTCACTTAAACACAAAGTAGGGAACTAGTTCCATATAGTTACATTAACTCCTTTCCAAGCAAGCTTCCCCACGCTAATTTCAACATGAAATGCGGAAACGTAACAGCAAAAAGAAAATATTTCATATTTCCAAAATGTAGTTTAACCAAAAAAATCATGAAAGTTTCATATATTAACGCGAAATTGAGCAAATAAGTAAAACAAATGCCAGCTTAAAAAAGATAAAAAAAGCAGAAAGTATAGCTTTAATCAAAGAATAAACTAGCAAAACTTACCTTTTTATCTTTACTTGTATCAATTCTGACGATATGTTCGAACTGACGAACTTATTTCAAAGTAACTGGAAATCTGTACCGGGCGTTTGTGCTATATGCTGTCAGGTAAGGTACAAAACCCAGTAAAAACGCTTACTAAGCGATAAAAAAGTTTGGGGAATTAATAAATRGCTCACTGCCATATTATTACTAATAATAAAAGACTTCCAAGAATTATTTGATTAATTATACTTTTATTCGGGGAACCTTTAGTTTATATAGGGCTGTGGGGTGCTCAACAATGAATAGGAAAGGACTGCATATGACGTCAGATCCTTTGTCTTTGAAAAGTTATTTCGTTTTCTTAGCATTTGTTTGTCTTCATATAATACCTTTGTATGTATTAATAGATTATGATAAGTATATGTAGATATAGTCTAGATGTGCTTACAGTGCCCTTTTGTGTACAGCAATTTTAAAAACTTTGAAACTTCGTAGCGTATTCCGCTAAAATGTATTATTGCCACTGGATGCAACTAAAGTACCGTTAGAAAATGGCCATTCGTAACTAAATAGCTTTCTTTCAAAGCCACACAGCTGGTGTAGTTACTCTACAACAGTGAAATCCTTCAAGAGCAACAATACGACTTCCAAAAATGCATTTTAGTCTTGGAATAAATTATCTTTAGTACTCAAAATTTTCTTGAATGGCTGTAGGTAATAAACCAAACATGACAATATTGCAATGTGAATTTAGTTTCATCAGCATTGTCCAAATGAAAATGCCGACTTAAATCACGTGAAATGAACGTCCAATTGAAATAAGGATAAACTGTGACATCAAACGCCCACGTTTGCGACAAAAGGGGCTTTCTTTCCAACCATATATTTTCTCGAACACTTGATAGAAATCCGTTTATCATTTGATCGTTAGATCGGACTCTAACTGCCCACTGGTATCGCCTTGGTACAGCATAATTAAAACAACAATTAACTAAAAAATTGCCCTTTTTTAATTATTTTATTCGCATATGCACCGTACGGGATAACTCATATCTCTCTTAATATTTCAGTAGGGCTAGGATAGTGATTGTAAATGATGTGACAGTTTAAGTGCAGAGAGCTTTCTGCTCATGCAGCGAGTATTTSCCTAAGGGCTTTCTAGTTTCTTCGTGGAAGATTATATATAGAAATTATCAAATAGAATGATTAAGAAGATTAGACGTGTCCTGGCAGGCATGTGTTGTGGAATGTACTCGGGGAACCCCCCTTAGCCGTCGAAGCGCTCAACCAAAGTTCTCTGAATTTTGCGAGCATTTTTATAAAAAGTTTTTTATCATCTTTCTTTTCTTTCCTTCAATCTTTTCTCCCTTTATCTTTTGCTTTCCACTTTTGATGACCTGGGTTTACCGCAGTTGTTCCTATGGGCTCAAAATCTCGTTGCTTCCTCAGGAATTCATTGAAAAAATGGTTTACTAAAAGACTTGCTAATATCACTGGAAAAATTGACTGCAAAGAGGACGATCTTCCGCCATCTTTCCTAAGAACATATGGCAATGCCAAGTGAAAACCGGCTTTATCGGTTATAGTACTCTGAAGGACGCGTCCTAAAACTCCGATTAATTATTCAATTTTTTTGATTTCACAGACTAACAGAATTCTTTGGATACATAGTTTATTAAAAATAATTAAAATACTAAAATATTAATTGTTGTTTTATGTCGAATAAAGGCTTTTTTATTAAATTTCCCTTTTCCCTTTATTGCATTATTGTTTTACAATGGCAATGCTTTTAAAAAAGCTRTGAAAACTAAAAAGTCTCTTACTATTATTTTTACTGATGCAACATGCATTTCTCTTATCTGACTAACCRCTGGYTAGTAGCAACAACCGGTTCAGATTCTGTGGTGTATTACCGCTGTACAGTTTGGTCACTGTTCCTTTACTGCMACAGGTTTCATGGTTTTCACGATCTTCCTCATCAAATCTCTCAGCGAGTTCAGCTTTTGTTCGATGGTTTCAAGTGAATGACGTTCCTCGGTGAACTCTAATAATTCTGAATCGAAATATAAAAGTAAATTAAAAGAAATTATAGCATAAATAACTCTCTTACATATAGCAAGTATTCTACAAATTGGGGCAATTCAGACCGCACAATTACTGGCAGTAACACAACATCAACGGTGGTTTTATTGAAATTCTCGCAGCAGTGCTTTGAAGGAATGTCAGAATATAAACCGTTGGGAGAGGTAGAGAGGCAACTAACAATAACTCAAGTCAGCTATGCAGCCAGGGGTTGAGAAATTGTTCCGGCAGTTCTAAGGCGTGCTAAGTTACCGTTGAAAGTAATAAACCCTTTTAGCGCTGTGTTAGCCTCAAAACCATGTAATAAATTCTTTTATTCACAACAGCCCATGCAAATGCAAGAGATCTGTGAGTGTAGAAGACAATGGAAATAGTTTGAAATGATCACGAGTTTTATCTACATTTCTGAATATTTTAGCACACAATTGAGGCTAACACAGCGTAAAAGAGATCGCGAAAGTCAACTATTCTATCAAAATACCTTTGGCAAGATTCAGTTCGCTTATCCAATCACCATCTTTGTAGTGCTTGACACGTAGATTCTACGACACATAAAAAAAATTGAGCTGATTACAGATAAGTAGAGGCGAAATAGAAAAACGACTGGAAGAATAAGGAGGGAGACTGAGAGAACGATGGACAAAACATTAAAAGCGAGGAGAAAGACAGCGAGAAAGGGGTCTTGCGACCTCAACAAGCTTTAAAATAGTATGTTGGACCCTCAACTCATAGAGTGCAAGTCACATAAGCATGAAACAATTCTTAACTATGTAGTGCTAAATGAGATTTAGTTATCAACTAACTAAGAATTGAGAACAATG